AAATTTATCACATTGAAAAAGAGAAGAATTTCTCTCTCTTGTCACGGTGTTTTTTTATATTATCAATTTATCTCGAGCATACTTTTTGCACGATAGATTTTTTTCTCGAATGATTAAAGGAAAATCGGGAGAGAAGACGACACAAAGAGTTCATTTTTTAATGTATCATTATTAAGCGTCCACTGTCGTTTGCGTGACATCGTTATATTGACAATTCATCTATATTTACACGTATTAAATAATAATAATATTAATAATATTAATCATATTTAGTAACATTCATTATTATTATTATATTATAATAATAATATTAATTACATTTAATAATATTAATATTTGTTCGGGAGTCGACCTCGACGAGATCGCCCGAAACTATAAGATAAACGCTCAGAGATGAGCGAGAAGCGGTGTGTGATCTGTTGATAAAGGCCTTGCTTTCCAGTGACAACTTGACAGATTGGCGCTGGGATAGTGAGATCTAGAGCATCTAGGTTGTAGCCCCCTTTCCTCGGGACCCATTCTGGTGGCGGTATCACTTTTGCCAAGCCTGCTTTATGAGCTCCCTGACTCTCCATATATTCCACATATTTTGTGAAATTTTTAAATTCCTCATACGTCGGTCGAAAGACCTGTATGCGAGGTATTCCTCTTGAATTATTTGCCATTGCTGTATTTATTACTACTGCAAATCAAAGATAATTTTGAAAATATCTAATGAAATATATAGTAATCAAAAATAATTTTTAAATAACTTTAGTAGTACTGCAATTATTTTTTACTTTTATAGTACTACTATTATTTTTTATCTCTTCATGTGATTATGTATAAAAAAAATGTATAATGCGTATATGCCATGAAAATTTGTTTAAAAAAAAATATCTACTCTTTTTCTCTTCTCTTTCTTAATATATTAAAAAATATATCACTCCTGAAGTTTTTAGGATATTTTATTTCAATTTCGTTAGTAATTGTATTCTTATATTACAAAAGCAATAATTCGTTATATTCCTTAAAAAAAAACGAAAATGAACACCGTACAAAAATTTATTGATCTGTATCTAGATAAAACTAGCATCATTTTAATTCGATTTAGCAATTACTTCGTTAAATACCTATATGTATATTGAAAAACACTTCTGTCACGATGTATATAAACGATCGTTACGATGCATTTCATTCATCATGGCTCGTACGCGAATATACACGCAAGTGGGTAACCGTACATCTCAAAGAGTCTTCAAATCACGCGAAGCAATTGTATAAAAGTATCGAGAAAAACGGATAGCAGTTATGTAGAAGGCAAGAAAGAAAAACGAGTGGAAGGAGAAAAAAGCGAAAAGAATGCGTGCACGCGATTTATTTCCCCGGTAACACTTCGAAATCATAGGTAAGTTCGATGTTTTCGGAACGAAACGTGTGTGTGAGGGCGGCAGAGGAGAAGGGGGAGCAGAGAAAGGGGATCCATAAACAAAATGGTAGTTATCTATTGTTACAGGATTCTCTCCCTCGCACGACGCAAGGGATCCCCTCGACTCTCGATCGCGGATCGGGGATGTTTGTTCCGCGATTACCTTATTCCTCTTGCGGAGTATCTCCCGATCGGGAGCGAACCAGGGGATGACGAAACAAACGGGGCCTCGATCGGGGGATCGTGATCGCGGTGCGGACACTCGAGGAGAGCCGAGACGGATAACAAATCGCCCTTGCGGCGAGCGCTTATTACAGGACAGACGGGTACTTACACACGCCCGATGTACGATCACCTCTCCTGTATCAGTAGCATCGTCCTTCACGAGAAGAGATGCCCCGTCGATCGAAGTTAATCGCGCACGATTTTTGACACAACACACACAAGTTTTGGATGCAGCAGCGGATGAGCCGCGCAGCGTCGTCGCCGTACGCGCAGTGAGGTGGCGCTCGCGTCGCTCTCGCGACTGCTAGCGACATCTGCTAACGGCGTGCCAAATTCGAATATTCGCCATTTGTCACGTAGGCCAGCATAGGCGGATGTTGAGTCAATTTTCGCGACACGAGCGAGAATAAGACACGAAAGAATATCATACGAGAAATGATGATATTCGAAACTATGATCGATTGCTATCGACCAGCTCGAATCGTTGTCGTAGGCAGACTAAGGGTTCCATTACATGAAGCGCGGAAACGCGGATTAGCGTAACGCGGAACGAGAAGGGAACCAATCGCGACCGACCGCGGAAACTCGCGCTCTGCCGATCTGAATAACAAGTTTTTCTGATTTCGAACCTTCGAGAACTTGCTGTTTGTCACAGTTTTTCATTCTAAGAAGAATGCGATCACACACTGAGCGGGTGACCGCGACGCTGTTTGTTCTCGCTCGTGTTTTATTTTCTGAGGCAATCGTTTTAATATAACGGCGAAATTTAGAAACAAAATTTTAGTGTTTCAATTTTGAACAATATTACTTGAGGGATTCTAATTTTTTCGCTGAGTTTTATCCTGGAAACGAGACGGTCAAACTTCCGGCATTCAATGTCACACTGTCACAAAAGGAAGATGAGGAAGAATGATCTGTCATAATAAATTTCACGCGTATCTCTTTTTACTGGAATTCGCAAGATAAGAAATCGCGCTCTCCTATCATCAATTACTGTATTAATTCGCGTATCCTTTTCACTCACCAATTGTCATTCTGTCTCTTTCGCGCGCGAAACAGGTGGAACGCAAGAAAAGTTATATCACGTGATTGCAAGCTTTCCCGCGTTTTTCGAGGAAAAAAAAAAATTTCGCGCTCTTTTCGCTAGGCGTTTTTTGGCTGTGAATTTCCGCCTCTTATCGAGAAGTGAATCTGTAAGGAGGAAGAATCACCCCTTCTTGTGACAGACTTCAAGTTCATCGTACGGTGTTTTTGTACGGGACAAAGAGAGACGCGAGACGTTCTTGAAAATAATTAATATTTTATCTAGGTGAGTCGCGATGATAACGCATGGCCTTTGATAATGGAATAACACAGCATTGGTCTACTAAATTTTAACAATGTATGGATTTTGTAATCGTTATATTTGCTTATCGCACAAGGGAACAAGAAAATTGATTTTCTTCGTCGATTTTCGTGCTCTAAGCGGAAATTATGATCGTGGATCAAACGAAGGGCGAGTGTCATCTCGCGGAACATTTCTAGATATTTAACATAGAATAAAAACGTTATACAGTGATTTAAATGAGCATTTCAGATAGAGTTGCATCGTTCGATTGACTGATCAGAACGAGAAGATCTCTGACACTTTGGTCTTAATTGTGGTTGACCGAACGATTTCGGGGATATGTAACTCCTTCCAAAAAAATACAATGGAATATCAATATGTAAACGAAATGCAAAGAGAAAATAACAAAATTCAATTATAAAAAAAAAATCATCAAAAAAATGTTCTTATATTGCGTGATATTTCTATTGCATAAATTTTTATATTGTGCTTAGATGGTAAAAATATCGATTTTTTTTCGATGGATCGATGATAGTATGTATTATTGTATAATTAGCGATCAATTCATTTAACAAAAATGTCTTTATTTTACATATATTGCGATATTCGATAGATTTAATGTACTTTCTAAGACTTTCTAACGCGCTATTTTTGTTTCTAAATAATTTTATTTTATTATTTGATGGAACACCGACAATAAAACGCAAAATGTAAAAGAATTATGTATACCGCTGTATGTATATATGTACAAAAGAATCGATAATAATCTGTAAAACATATTTTGTAATTTTTAAAAATCTAATAAACTGCATTAATAATACAAAATGCAAATGTCTTTTTATTGAACATACCCATCCATTCCCACACATCTTATCGTGTCACACACGCCTCTTTGTTAATTATATATTTTCTTGATACGTTTTTGTCAATTTTTCATTCTTGGAATTTTTGAAATGGCATTTCTTGGAATTAAGTATCAGGAGAATATAATCAGCAAAGAAGTGGCACAAATCACAGTTTCTCTCAAGAAACGCGAAAAATTAAACTTTCAAAATCCGCAAAAGTATCAGGAGAACATGATAAGCAAAGAGATCGCAGGATCGAACCAAGTTAAATTACAGAAAGCGGAAAATTTGAAGCATCGAAATTCGCACAAGTATCAGGAGAACATGATAAGCAAAGAGATCGCATCAAGTTAAATTACAGAAAGCGGACAATTTAAAACTTCGAAATCCGCAAAAGTATCAGGAGAACATAATCAGCAAAGAGGTGGTACAGATTAAATGTTTAAAAAGCGCAAAAATTCGAAGCTTTAAAATCCGCAAAAATATTAGGATTTTTTTTTTTTTTTGTTTTGCGAAGGAAGAGAAAAATGCATTATGCATTCCCACCGGCCGGTCCGGTGGGATATGCGGGACTCGCACCCGCTAAAAAACTCTCCCTGCAGGGCCAACTTTTGGCCCCGCCGATACTTACACAAATTAAAATTCTGAGATTTCAGGAACATGATAGGCAAGAAAGATAATACAAATAAAAACTTCAAATTTTAAATTTTAAAAACTCCAACTTTATTTTCTTTTCTCATTTATAATATAGTGAAAATTACTATCTAAAACTTAATTATTCTTACAACTTATCTCTCAATTTTCGCAAATGTACGACTTACACATACAATACATTTGCACTTATCGCGTAAGTGAGTGCATGCGTTTGTCCATCTTCTTGCGCGACTGATATATCTTTTTATTTTTTCATCTAGATTAGAATTTCGGGTCGTCATCACTCGGTGAGCGCCTGAGACGCGAGCAACGCGCGCCGGCGCCGCGGGCGAACAAACAGGTGGGCGCTGATAAAGGCGCGCGTAGAATCGAACGGCGGTGGAGTTTACCTCTGGCAGCTGGCAGTCCAGTCGACGGAAGAGAAAGCGGGGCGCGCGAGGGAGATGTGAATATACATTCGCGCGCGCGAGGAAAACGCGCGGCGAGAAAATTCTCTCGTAGAAGGTGGCGGCGACGTGACGTGCGAACTGATCGACGATGAGCGCCGAGCTGGAATTCGCGGAAAAGAGGCGTCGATCGCGCACGGAGGTCGATAGATCGCTCTATCTGCTCTTCGAGGATATATCGTACAGCGTACGGCGTGGAATCCTGACCAAGGGTATACATAAATTTCAATTCACCGATAAAATTATATCAAGCAAATTATATACAAATGTGCGTGGATGTGTGTGTGCGTGCGTGTGTGTGTGTGTAAGCGAATTCGTTGCATTAATCCGCAACATGTGTGAGCATTGCATTTCAATAATTATAATTGTTCTAAATTGCTGGATTTTTACAATATTGCTTTGCTATGATTATAAAAGCAGCAGTAATTTTATTCGCAATAAAATGTATAATTTAAACATAAATTTTCCTATGAAATGTGCTTAAATTATATCGTAATGTGTGTTTATCATGTAACCAATTCATTAAAAACTAATACTTTTATAAGAACCAGGATAGGGAAGAGGAGAAGAAGAGAGAGAGAGAGAGAGAGAAAAAAAGAAAATGTACATATTTGAAAAAATAAACAACTCATAGAAAAATATCATTGACTAGTCTGATAATAAGATAGGAAGAATTATGCAGATTGCATTGAACATAAATTATCAATTTTACTTAAAATTGTAACGTTATTGATGCTAATATTAGTACGTTGGAAAACATATGTATAATTACATTTGCATACGCATAAGTATCGCATTTTTTTGTGCATTTAACGTACGCGCATTAACATGACATCAGATACAGCAGTCGTAACTCTTAATAGAAGCAATACGGTAAACAATTTTTACGACTTGTATATATGAGAGAATAATATATGTACATAAAACTTGTCTCTAAGAAAAAAAGAGTTTTAAATTGAATTTTGCAAATAAAATCAGACACACGCGTAATTATAATAATATTAATAATAGTAACAAAATAACGATAAATTTTTCTAATATATACATAACGTAATATGATAAAGAAAAAGATATAAATATATCGTATTCTTCAAATAAACAACTGTAATTGTTTAAGAGTGAGCTTACATGAAAAAAATAACCTTCACGTTTCACAATCAATCACAACAAACGAGTGATTGAAATCTTATCGATATGATTTTAGACTATGATATATATTGATAGGGAAAAAGATGATAAATTCCACATTCACGCGCTTGCTTCATAAGTATAAAAACCAAGATAAAAATCCGAATGCGAATAATTGCTGTCAGAAATAAAATACAAAAAGACACCGATCATCGCAGGGAGTTCTTGAAAAATTAAAAAATTGATAAGATATATTATATGGGAGTTACTTATTTTATTTCGTTCTAAAGTGTAGCAAGATATGACGTATGCTTTATTAATCTTAAGATTGGAGTGTTTAATTATATACATTGTCGAGATAAAAAAATCACTTTTCTCCAGCTGCGGAAGATCCACAAATTTCCGGAGACAATTCGAAATTAATTTATATATTTTTTTTCAGGAAGATAAAAGATATTTATACAAATATTACTAATATTAATATACAAAATGTTACGATATTAGAACGAATGACACTCTTATTATATGTTTATCATATTTAAATACTAGTAATAATCTGACAATATTAATTAACACAGCGATAAATAATCATTATCTTCTGGTATCGCAAGCGCATAAAGCAAAATCCACATCTAATGTGCAAATGGATTAATTATAATGTAGAATATAATTAGATCATACACTTCTTTCCTTCAGATGTTAGCATAATAAAAAGCATGAATCACGTATATGGATTGATAAAATTAAGAGTAAAATAAGCAACGCAGTAGATAAAGAGCTTTTAAGAGCAAATAGACAAAGATGCCAAAGGCATTACTCCTATTACTCACAATGAATGCATAGATCAGATTCCGGTTCGAAATGTCAGTGCATTTAATTGCCAAAAGACCTATTGTTTCCTTATTAATTTATTGATCATAAATTAAGCACTAATCTAGATCGACGCAGACTCGCGACATTTTAATTGCGAAACATACTGAGAACGAGAGGAATATTTAACGGATCTTTAACGTAATTGATTACATATTAAGATTTTTTATTCAATTAAATTGAGGAAGTTAAATGATCAATTACAATTATTACGATCTTTATCGTAAATTGTTGTTTGGATAATATTATTATTCCACAAATGTAGTAGCAGTACATTGTTTTTACTCGGTGAAACTTTCACCTCGGGTACAACTATTTGCTTACAATTAGTATTTAGGACATTGATCATAGTGAAAATATCAATATTATCTCGCAAAATACCAACGTTATTTTTTCATGTGGTTATCAGCTGCTGCAAATCTTTTTACAAAGACTGGCCATCTATTTTATTTTGTAGAGAGAAGAGAATTACTGCGAGACCTTAATGGCGATTTTCGACCGGGCGAACTCACGGCTATTATGGGTCTTTCGGGCGCTGGAAAATCTACACTAATGGATATCTTGGCAGGTTTCACGTAAGTATAAGCGCTTTATATATTACATCCTGGTCAGTCTCTCATGACGGGATTCGTCCGCTTACAATCACCGAATTGCCGTTCAAAAAAACGTACACCACGTTAATGAATTTATATAATTCCCAGTAAGCAATTTGATAACAAATTGTTGCCAAATTGGCATCAAATTCGCTCAAAGGCAATCTGCCAGCTTAATCGGTAATAACAACTCTTGCACCAAATTTGTAGCCTTTTTGCTGACAATAATTTGTAGCAAGCACTTGGCAATATCTGTTAGAACAGACGTGGCTGACTGGGATTAATACATCTCGTACGAGTTTATAAAATATTAATAAAGTTTGCGAAGTTTTATTTTTCATCTCTCTCGTGAATAATTTAGCAATGCAACATTAGGAAGATAAACGTACCGAGATCTCTTTCGTTCAAACAATTCAATAATCCCGGAGCAAACGAATATCGAGGGAAAAAAAAATTAATAAAATATACTTTTCTGGCTTTGTCGATAAATGATTGTGTTACGAATTTTTTTAAAGTGACTGGAAGATATTGTCGAACATGTTAATACAAAACAGCATTGCATCTCGCGTTATCTGTGCGCGTAATCATCCCTTATCGCTTCGTCTATTCGGCTTTGAGATCGTGCGAACGCATTGCAAGACACGCATCTTATTACATATCATTTGTTCATCATTAGTTCTCGCGAAGAATGGCGGTGGATCGAATCACCCACGTTCGCGTGCACTAACTTGCCTCGTTCAACCTCGGTCGCACGTGGTATACTCTTTGTCACCAGTCGATATCAATGTCGGGATCCGCTTTTCAAGTACAGTTATCTATTTGATGCGTGGAGATATTACCGTGTTTCCTACGCATAAATATGCTTGCGTCCTTATCTTTTTCCGCGCTCCTATCTTCTTTCTTCTCTTGAGAATTCTTATACGCAATCTTATCTTTTTTCTTGCTCGTGCGTTATCTCTGGTTAAGGAATGCTGTATGTATAACGCATACATTTATATAGTCTTAAATATAACTTGATTAGATTACCTTTATTAAAGAAGAAATTAGAAAGATATACGTGAGACTTATATAGGAGGGAAGGGGGCAGTTTAAAGCCCGTATCAGACTACGCATTGAAGATTGTGATTGAAGATTCAAGATTGAAATTTGACCAATCAGAATAAAGAAATTTTAGTCCCTTTTGTTCTGATTAGTCAAATTCCAATCTTTAATCTTCAATCTTCAATTTTCAATGCGTAGTCTGATACGGGCTTAAGCCTTAAGAAATTGACTAATCACAGTCGAGTATTCTCTTCATACTTCATACGAAATTTGACCAATCAGAATAAAGAAATTTTAGTCCCTTTTGTTCTGATTAGTCAAATTCCAATCTTTAATCTTCAATCTTCAATTTTCAATGCGTAGTCTGATACGGGCTTAAGCCTTAAGAAATTGACTAATCACAGTCGAGTATTCTCTTCATACTTCATACGAAATTTGACCAATCAGAATAAAGAAATTTTAGTCCCTTTTGTTCTGATTAGTCAAATTCCAATCTTTAATCTTCAATCTTCAATTTTCAATGCGTAGTCTGATACGGGCTTAA